GCAGCAAATGATAAAATAAAACCATCCCAGTGCGCCTTTCTTTGCTCACAGGAACAGAGCGAGGAGTTTTTTGATCTTGTGTTTGCTTGAGCAGTTGTTTAATTCCAGCTGAAAAATCAAGCTTGGACCTGCACGTTCCTGTGGAGGTTTTACAAACACCAACACAACACAAAGAGACTTCTGGATGGTGGCCGACATTCACCTCAGCTGCACTGGTGTTGCACTGCTAGTGAATGGTAGTGTGTTATAGTGGGAGGGCAGACAAGAGGGGAAACTGTTTTATGTGGAGGTTTTCTCTGTTTTCTCTGCTTGCCTGTAGCTGGAATCATCTGGGTGACGAAGGCAATCTGTGCTGCTATGAAATTAAACCCACTCTCATTTAGCACTTGTGATTAAATCTTTAACATTAATAAGACGACAGTATTATTAACTTTCATAGAACGTGATAGATTTCCTTTGGATTTCTGAGGAAACAGCTGCATGTAATTGGGATGTTTCTGCCATGAAACTGTAGATATTTGTCGTCGCTAACGTCGACTTGCTCGCGGACAACTTGGCTGTCTTGTAGGCTGTAATTCTTAGATGGGATGATGACTGTTGTCAGTAATGAGAGGGCAGACTGATGTGATGTTTGACTTGTCCGGCACAACAACATCGCCTCACTGTCTCAACAGCGTGCCGTCATTATGTCACGATGGTGCTGCTCTGAGTCACTTGTTTCACAGCAGGCTTTGGTGTTTAGCGTGACATTAGCGTTGTGTTTATGGGTCACCAACAGGCTTTGATGAGTGCAAAGTAATTACTCTGTTAGCGACCCGACTGTCAGCTGGAATCTGAATTTGATATCGAGTCTTTTCAGGTCATACATTAACTTTTTTCATACGCTGGTCTTAATCTAAAACTTCCAAAAACATATTCAGATGAAGCTCGATGTTGCCTGTCTTGTGATCCAGAGGAAGCACGTAATGTCCATCCATCATCTACACACCGCTTAATCCTCACTAGGGGGTCTGGAGTCTATCCCAGCTGACTCAGGGTGAAGGCAGGTTCACCTGGACAGGTGACCAGTCTATCACAGGGCTACACTTAGAGACAGACAACCAAGCACACTCACATTCACACCTACGGACAATTTACAATCACCAATTAACCTCAACATGTTTTTGGACTGTGTGGGAGGAAGTCGGAGAACTCGGAGAGAACCCACGCTGCACGGGGAGAACATGGAGACTCCATGCAGAAAGATCCTGGGTGTCCTCACCGGGACGCGAACCGGCGACCTTCTAGCTACTTTATTAATCCTCACTGGGAAATTCTGTTGTCGCAGCAGCAAGCAGAGAGAGTAAAGTGACCACCACCACAACACAAATACATCAGAAATAAGAAAAATATACTAAAGAGAGAGTAAAATATACTATGATTAAAATGCACTAACGTGAAACTAACATTATACATCGAATGAGGAAATTAAAGACACATGAACAACATTGTGCAGCAGAAAATCCTCTTAAGTTCTTTACATGTTAAACTCCAGTTGCCCATGAATACTAGCAACACATATTTCTACCAGATAATCAAATGAAATTAATAATATTGCACCTGTAGCTTTCTGATTTGCTCGCGTTGCCACTAGAGCTTGAATTGAAACCTACGGCTGATTAGAGGGCTGTCATCTGCAAACGCTGTGATGTAGCAACAGGAAATGCTCCCTCGTCATCTGTTTAAGAGAAATTTTTATGCCTCAGAGGATCAGAGGTTTTAAAGGTTACAGAAGGGGGAGCGATACAGTCAGAATTTTATCACGCTGCTCGTGTTGCGTGGAAACTTAGCGTATCTCACGAGCACCGCATACAGTCATGTTTCACAACTGCTTTATTATTATGTTCCTATTAAATCTTGAATCAATCCACGTCTTTAATTCCATCAGACCTATTTAAAGATGTTCCGTGTGCGGCGGCGTGGCCTGCTTGCGTTTGGCCGCTTTTGTTATCGTCTTTGTTTTCCACCTCACCACAGTGGCTGCGGTCAAACTCGTCTCTCTTGTGCTAAATGTTTTTTTAGTGTTTTTGTGTGTAATGACCCGTCACATCCTTTACATCCACGAACTTGACTCACGAGCTCCACCCAGGAAGCTCGACAGGAATACGTCTTTTGTGTCTTGTCAGCGAGGGCAGAGCCGGCGGAGGTTCCCGAAGGTCCCGTTCGCCGCCCGGTGTCTGCTGAGATGTGTGTGAACTCGGCTGTGCGCTCTGACTTCGCTCTCTCTCTCTCCCGTCTGTCTTTATCATTGACCTTTCCACATTCCACAACCTGCCTCTGGAAGTCGGCCCTCATTGGCTGCAACACTGCGTGCTTTGTTTGAACTCGGCCACGGGATTGGCAGGTCTGCGGGTTTCTGGCTCTGATACGTGGAGTGGACCAGTTCCTGCTGTATTTTTACGCTCAGAGGAATGTCAGCAGGACTTTTTTTTCCTTATTGAGGCTGACACTTTGCAGTCTGTTTGATAAGCAGGTAATTCACGGCACAACAGCTGCTTTCGATAAGGAACTCCTGTTTTAAAGCAACAACACACCTTTAAACGTGTGTTTTTGATGGTTAACTACAAGCAGAAAGAGCGAGACTAAAATATCATCTGTGATATTTATAATTTTAGTCATTAATGTGGCAACAAAACACCCAAAACTACCATAAAAACAAGTCTTATTTTATTTTAAAGGCCATTAAACACATTAAATATAGAACAAGTGCGTATTTATTTTATTTTGCGTTCTCTACAATAACTTTTTTAACTACTTTGGCTCAGTAACAAACCAGGACACGGGCAGAAATGTGTATGTTTTTTTTGTTTTTGCAAGCAGCATTTAGGTATGCGTTTAAAACAACAACGCTGACACAGTGGCCCGGTGAGCGTTGCCCACAGGTCTGTGTTTTGCCGTTTAGCCTTGACTCACGTTGGTGATGGATCTGTTTATATTAGCAGGCAGACGTGGTATTTCGCAGTAGCCTGCCCTGATCGGCCTGCTATGAATAGCACTAATTGGAGCCACACTGTCAGAGCCTGTTGTGCCAGAAGTGAGTCATATCGTCAAGTGACTGCGGCCGAACAATTAATCGATTTCAATCCCAAACAATGCAATTAGCAAAACGCACAGAATGCAGTTTGGAACAGACAAGTTGTCGCTAATAAATAATGAAACTCATGCTTTGATTTAATTAGAACAGACTGAAACTTTCAGGGTTGTTCACGCTGCTCTTTGATCCTCTTGTACTGTTGAGTTCAGGCCGACTTAAAGCCAGGCTCATTATTTAATGGCTGCGCCTCGTATGTTTTGCGGCAGAGATTAAACTGTTGTGTCAATGTTTTTTTAATTTCATATCGTCCCCCTTTCTTGGCACAGTCGCGCTTCTGATGGTGTCTTGTGGTGCTGCTGCATCACATGTTTTAGATCTATTACGCAGTAAATATTGAGCTAAAGCTTGACTTCAAAAAATTATTCTGCAAATCAAATCACAGCGTCTGTCAGACAAACCGCAACTAGATATTCTCTTTAAATGGTTCAGCCAAACGAGAGAGAGAAACAAAGACCTCTGTAAAACAACAACAATAATAATAATAATGCTATAGCCTTATCATTAACCTGGATTACTGACAACTAAATGCAGCAAATGCCTCATTATTCTTCCCCTTTATTGCTTCACTCTGTTTTGCTCTGTAGCATACATTTTCTAAGAATTTGTTTATTAATATTTGCAGTTAAGTCATTCATACAGTTCAAATACAGTAAAATAAATAAATAATAATAATGAGAACAACAAGTGTCTGAAAATTTTTTTAGGAGATTTAAATACAGAAAAGTACCACATTTGAATCCTTAATGTGCACACGTTTTCTTTTGAATAATGGCAAATACCTGGAAAATGATGATATTTTTTGCTGATTTAAATACAATACAATCGGGAAATTTAATGGTCAAACATTGTAAAATAATGAATTACAGACGTTTGATGTGCACATTATGTAGAGTTCTGGCTTGTTGTTTTAAAAAAAAGATTTACATGTAAGTTAATACTTTTTTTCATCTGATTTTTACTACTTAATATCTGTAACTAAACCAAAAACAATCTGGAAAATAGCAGCATATTGTTTAAAAACTGTACCTAAAATGCTTAATTGACTATTTTTCTGTTTTAAAAAAATGCGGAACACAGTTTTCTGTTTTTTAGCGATATATCATTGCAAACTGAATCTGAAAAACAATACGTATAAAGACGCTGCTTTTGGCTGTAGATGAACATTTTCTAGACCAAATGTTTTACTGATAAATGGAGAAAATAAACGGTGCGTTATTTGTTTGCAATCCTAGAAGCTTAAAAAAATAAATAAAAATAAATAAAACAAAAAAAAAAACGTTTATTTTTGACAGTGCGGCAAAAGGAAGTGAAGCAATTAGTTAAAAACTGTACCTGGAAAAAAAAATCTGTCAAAAATACCCCCCAAATTTTTCCGTTTTTCAGTTATATACCTTTAAAAAAAAAAAATCCGTCAAAAATGCTCCAAAAGTTATATCTATATCTTTATTTATATATTATCTATATATAGATATAGATAGATGCCTTTGGCTATAGATTAACATTTTAAAGACCAACAGTTTTACTAATTAATCGAGAAAATAAACCCTACATTATTTGATGAAACTTTAAAAAAAAAAAAGTTTATTTTTGACAGTGCGGCTACAGGAAGTGACGCAATCACGTGACTGCTCAGGTAATCAAACACCTGTAACAGCAGCTCCAGCTCGTGTGACAGAAAGTCCTACTGAACGGGCCGACTTGTATTTGTTAGGCTCAGCTGACAGGAGCCGTGCTAGTGAATGGAGCCGTGCTAACCCGTGCTAATCTCTCTCTCTCTCCCTCCCTCTCGCTCGCTCCCTCTCCCGGTGACGTCATGAAACTGGGCCGCGCTTTGCTGAAACCATAGGAATGCGACACACTTTGTATTTACAGCCCAGAGCCACAACACTTTTTCTTTCTCTCTCTCTGTGTGTGTGTGTGACTGCGTGTACCGCCCAGCCACCCGTTATCTCCGCCGGTGTCCGGGGTCGCTCTCATCCGCGGCGGCTCGAACCGAGTTGGATTTGTTCCGCGGAAACTACTTTGCCGCTGCAGGAGCCTGGTTTTCTTTTTTTTTTCCTCCTCGTCCTCCGCTCCGCGTTTCCGACATGAGATCAGGTGGATCGTGTGTTGCTGCTGGCTGAAGGTTTACCTGCTCCAGAGTGAGTATTTCCCTTCAGGATTTTTATTTTTAAATCACCATTTTAGCCATGCTTTCTTTTAATTTGGAGTTTAGTTGAGTTCAAGCGCAACTTCTCTCACTGAGGAAGTTAATCGGGGCCACAACAGAAGTCTGTTGTTGAAATCTCGCAGCGTGGATTAACCGAGAGTGAGAGAGAGAGAGAGAGGGAAAAAAAAGAAAAGCATAATAACTTTATTGTTGTGTGGAGCGGAGGGAGGGAGGAAAAGCCCGATGATTTCTGCTGGCTGTCTCCTTTAACTCTCCCTCCCTCCCTCCTCTGTCGCTCCATTCAAACCTGTTACTGGCTGCTCGGAGCGGTGACAGCTGCTGGATCCTCATCTGGTTCTGTGCACAAGTGTTGGTGGCACATGGAGACGAGGGGGAGGACAGCCACTCTCGGTGTGTCTTTGTGCTCACAGGTTGAGTTTTTATGCAGAAATGTAATGCTGTTTGTTATTATTGCACGTGGAAGTGGGTTC